ATCGAGTTGAACCGCGTGCAACATCTCTACAAGAAAAACTTCTTGTTAGACGCTCTGATAGTATTCAAGCCTACCTAATTTTATAATGGAAAAATTTATCCTACTTAAACTAGTGGAATTTCAATACAAGTTTTTTCAAGTTCTGTTGTTATTACATCCTCTTTCAGAAGTATTTAAAAAAGTAACTAATTCTAAAATTCGAGCTGTGCTTTTAATTTAGGAATGTGCATTTCAATTTATATTCTAACGACAGTGACCAATATGAACGAGTGTCAGTATCGTGGTTATTTAGTTTGCGGTATTTGTGTAAAATAGTGGCAGCTTCATTTTCGTTTTATGGCCCATCAATTCTCTGTGAAGCTTTCTATGGTAACAGTTTGCTAGTAATTATATGTAGTTTTTATTTTTGGTCTACTTCTAAAAAAGGGTCAAAAAACGAGTTTAAATTTGATCGTATGTATGTCACGTGATATCTTAACCAGTGGTGCACCAATTTTTATGATCCTTTTTATTTTATTTTCATTTTTATAGTATAAGGGTGACACTACACTTGATAATAAGTGGATAGTCTCATAGACATATATATATCGAACGGGGATCGAATCTGGTTTGCTCGCCTGCTGTGAAATTTACTCCGAGCGCTAACTATATTATCTACCACAGCTCCTTGCCGTCCACGTATTCCTTAGGACTTTTAAAATGGTGAAAAGAAATAACTTTATATAAAAAGTTAAAGTCGACTTCGGAGAACTAAAATAAAACCCATCACACATGAGATCTCTCTGGCGTTCCTACAGTTTCCTCGAACAACTTCCATGACTAGTGCACATGCCATACATAGTTACAAATTTAAAAACAATTGATAAAATGCTAAACGATTGAATGTTTGTTTTGTCGAATTGAAATGTATTATTCTTCTGTAACTGGGTCTATTCACCGTGTAGTAGTGGCGTAAGAATATCCACTACCGAATATCGTCCCATGAATGTCGTAAGAACCGATAGAGAGATACTGAAACAGGAGATGGGCTGCAGCATCTTTCTGATAATGAAAATGAAAAAAGTTTTATCATCAGAAACAATAATTATACTTACAATATGTAATATCTGATGGTTTCCTCACTGAGCACGTCTGTATCGAAGAAATCTAAGACTAAAAGTTCAGAATAAATTGCACTTGTTGCGTATATGGTTAGCTTCAGTTGAGACTGACCGCCGTGATCAAAATTAAGTCTGGTGGACATTATATTAAAAAAATGAATGGGTCGGCTAGATCCGTAAAGGACTGCGCTCTCACAAATTACCAGTGCAAAATAATAGATTAATGTGTTTTTAATAGCGAGTGTAGAGGAGCAGTGACCCGGTTTACTCAAAACGAGTTATTTTATCTTAGTTCTCAGGAGTCTGCATTTCGAAGGAACATTTGGATGTCTACAGAATACAGCATCTAATTACCACCAGATGGACTGTTTGCTTGTTTATCACTCTTATTCTATGACAAAATCCATGCAAAATGGCAAATTGATTGGATATAAAATAAGCATGTTATATTAAATTTTATTGCTCCGTCAACTACAATGAAATATATTGTTAATCAGAGCGTGAGAAATTGTTTGATATTTTTCAGACAAAATTCATTATTTTGATTTGAACAGAAACATGATTTTTGTATTGCAGAGATTTTTCACCGGAAATTCGTAATTCGTTTTTTAAATTTCGTAATTGCAAATGTTCGTATTTAAAATTTTCTGTATAATACTGTAAAATGGACTGTAGGTAAGGATTTTATTCACTTAAACCTTTTTATTTGATAAAAGTGACAAGCGAGCACACAATCCATCTGATATAAGTGCCCAAAGTCATCTATATCTATCTTCGATTAATTATCTAAATGAAGATGAATCACACCTGATGACTAAAATAGAATGCCTTGTTGTCAGTAAAAAGGGTCTCCGGTTTTTTACACTCTTCATATAAAACACATAAGCATTAAGCTGCTATTACATGCTGATGTTCTTTGAGATTGTGATCTGTGTGCTAAAATATTCTGTTGCTATAATTTAATTAAGCCTTGAATAGCCTGCAAGCTACCTCAATCAAATGAGTGTGTGCCTCATATATTGATAAAAATATTTATACTGTGAAACGTCCTCCTAAATTAATTATATTGTAAAAACTTCTCCTACCTATGGGAGAGACCGGAACAGAAAAGGACTGATTACCGACTAACATCGAGGAGGTAAATGAAAAAGAACGCCTTTATGATGAGAGATATTTGTATAGTATAGTAGTAGTTATATAAATGTTGCACTAAAAATGCTCATCTTCATTAAAATTCTACACGTTCGTTCCCGCTTTGCTAACGAATCGAACTTTGTTTTACTTCATTTTGCATTAATGTTAAACTTTCTTACGGTTCATTGTATACATGAAATTAGTTGTAATTTTTAAGGCACAAAAGTATTTAAATTTAATAAAAATTGCTATAATTGAATACAAGAACTTAAATATGCGCTTTAACAAGCCTTGGCTATCATCATTATAGCCTACCACAAGTTCAATGCTAAACATAATTTTTTAGCATTGAAATTAGCTTTCTCCAAGGAATGAAGAAAATAAGAACGTGGGTTGTTACGTGATTTTCCCTAACAGTAACCTATCTAGTTACGTACCAGTTTTTAATACAGTGTTACGTGACATAGTTGATGTCTGGTACATGGCAAGCCTTCCTTCACCCCCCTTATCTCTTTCCCGAAGGTAGCGTGAATGTCCTCCAGTGTCTATGGTCAGCTTACACGGCATTCCGTTGACCTCACCCTTGATGATTAGACTATTCCCATCATGGGTTTGTGAGATCGAGATCCTTGGGGCTCTTTTAACATCAGCCAGCAGACGCCCCACAGTTCTGGCTTTTACTCGTTTCTGGTGCTGCTGCTGCTGGGTGGTGCTGTTGGCCACACTACCCTCCTGATATCGTTTACTTTCTCTTTCCAGGGTTCGCTTAAGGCAGCTGGATCGAAGATGGCCCCTTTCACCACAGCCATAGCACTTAGGGCTGTATCCTTTGTTGCGGTCGCGAACTGTAGCTGCTCCAACCTCCCTGACGCGATGGGAACGATGATCTTGCTGCACGGCTTCCACCTCCAGTGTATGGGCCAAAGCGTCCGAGCCTCACAGCAGCTCTGACTTCAAGGTCGCGGATGCCGTCGATGAATGTCTGCACCAGGTTCCCTTCAATGAGCGCAGGTACAGACTGGTATGCTTTTCGCACCAGCTTCTCCACCTCTATAGCCCACTGCTGCAGGTTTTCGTTGATGCGCTGCACGCGATCTTTAAGCTGCGCATGAAAGACGTGTTTCAGGTGAGCGTCGCTATATCTCGCCTCCAATGCCTCAAGGAGCTGCTCATAAGTCACTTCCTCATCGAGAGCTTCTAGAACAGTTAAGGCCTGGTCTCGTAGGCCTAGTGTGAGAGCAGTCTTGGCCTGACTTTTTCCAGCCGTTCGCCTTCGTGACCAGGAAGAAGTCCCGTCGAACGGTGGCACTTTGAACCCACGTAGCGAAGGTGTTGTAGCTACGGGAGCTGTAATTCCATCCCCCAGTTTGAGGTCGTCGAGCGTCTTCTTCACGTCAGCCATCACGTGGTCAACCCGATTGTTCACTTGGTCGATTCGGGTTTCAGCTTCCGACAGGCGGTTGTCATGTTGAGCAACCTTATCCTTCACCTCCCTTATCTCTTTCCCGAAGGTAGCGTGAATGTCTTTCATGAGGAGCATCTGCTCTTCCTTATCGCGTTTGAGCTGCTCTTCCAACCGACGGGCCTGTTCCTCTTGTCCGCTCTGCAACTGCTCTTTCAACTGACGGACCTGTTCCTCCTGTCGGCGAGCCTGTTCCTCCTGTCGGCGAGCCTGCTCCTGCAGCATCACTATCAGAGCACCTAAGTCAGGGGCTGACCGCTAAGACTTAGCTAAGACTTAGCGGTCAGCCACGTGGAGTCTATGCCCGATTGTCTGACGTGCTCGTAAATGTCATTCATTTTGTTCCGCAAGTCATTTCCATAATTGGTTATACTACGTAGGGCATCAGGTGGTACTCCGGTGATCAGGTCTGCAGGCAGCCGAAATTCTCTTCCAAAGTTTGCGAAAGCTGGTGCCTTGATGTACTTTCGAAACCGCGTTTCGTTTCGTTGCCAATTTTCCACAACGTATGTACGTATGTACGTGCGTAGATACGGTACCGTAAACATCGTTTATGTTTCGTTCGTGATTAAATAATCATAAATAGTGTTAAAAGGTAATAGATACTAACAAAACTCATATCATTTTAAAGTGCATCAAATATAGTGTCTGGTAGTGCAATAAGAATTTTGTTATATTAACAGCCATAACAACAAACTCAGTGTATATTTTTTGGTGGCGTTAATTATTAATTCACCATCATCAGTAACAAATATCAAGTGCGGGTCGTTGTTATACGTGCATTCGGTCGATTTCGGTGGAGCTCGGGCCGATTCGCTTATGACTAAGGAGTACCTAGTTGCGTCTCCTCACCTCTGTGAATCTCGTGCGTTAGCGTTGGCGCTCGGGGCACTTCAGAGATCGACTACAAAGTGCTACGAACTTTGCTACGATACGCTATCGCATTGCGGCTACGCATTATCGTTCATTGGCTATAAATGTGTATGCGACTTTTGTTAACATCTTGAGTATTTGGTCTTGATCATTGTTTCGAACTATTCGATTCAATTACGAGCATGGAATGTGGTGCGTGTGGACACATTATCGAAGATGGCGGCCTCATTAAATGCGCTGGTTGTGACAATACGTTTCATTACGAGTGTTGCAACATAGAGAAGCAAGTGTATTTCGACAAATACGTGGAAAAAAAGCAGAAGTGGTAATGCCCATCCTGTACTAATATAACTCGGCGCAGAAATGATAGTACACCAGTTGGTAAGCGCGACATACGTTCCCTCCAAGCAAGTCAGGCAGATATTTCTAATATGTCCTGCGATGAAAAGCTGCAACGATCATCACGCTTGAAAAAATCTAGTAACAGTGCATCTCAACACACGTTGCGACAAAAAAACTCGGACTCCGTTACCATAGAACAAATCGAAGCTCTACTCGATCGTAATGTAAGTACTTTCAAGATAGATGTAGTGCAAGAAGTACATACAATGGTGACGAAAGAATTTAACCATACCATCAATAAGTTAGAATCGGATTTCACAGTAGCCACCGATTTTCTTCAGAAAGGGCAGGATGACCTTCTAAAGGAACTTGAGGTGGCTAATAATAAAATTAAAACCCTAGAACTTGAGCGAACTACACTTAAGTCAAATATTGAGTCATTAGATCGTCGTTTAATGAGCGTCGAAAAAATCTCACGAAGCCATAACGTTGAAATCCAAATGGTTCCGGAAAAACGTCATGAAAATTTACTACATCTTATACAAAAACTTTATGACACCGTGAATGTAACTCTGGATACGAACTGCATCTGTGCTGTTTGTAGAATTGCTAAAATTAATCCAAAGTCCGACAGACCACGAAACATTCTCCTTACACTACAAACTGAGCGGCAGAGGGACATTTTATTATCGGCAGTAAAACGTTACAACAAGGCTAACCACCCCAATCACTTAAACTCTACCTGCCTTGGGATTGAAGGAGAATATCGTGCCATATATGTAAATGAACATCTCTCTTCTACTACCAAAAAGCTTTATGCTGAAGCTAGGAAGTTTGCGAAAGATAACTCATACAAATATGTTTGGGTTAAATATGAACGTGTGTACATGCGGAAAAATGACAACGAATCAGCATTATTGATTAGAGACTTTAGTAACTTTGAGAAACTTAAAGTAAAGTGAGTTTGTTTTAGATTATGTGAATTAAAAAATTTGTAATAGCTGAATTGACTGATACATTTACTTGGATTCTTAACAACGTTCTTACATGAAATTTTACTACCAAAATGTAAATCGTATAAGATCAAAGACAACAGAGTTATATTTAAACATACTAAATTGCAATTACGATTGTATTTGTTTAACTGAAACAAACTTAAATCATACTGTATTTGATAATGAGTTGTTCGATTGTCGTTACATTGTATACCGGAGAGACCGAGAGTCTACTTGTATTAACAAATCTGAAGGTGGAGGTGTACTGATAGCTATTAAAAAGGAGTTTAAGGTAATTCGCCATAAAGAATGGGAGAGTGACATTGAAGAATTGTGGATATCGGTTTTGCTCGATTGTCCAATGAAATCTGTCACTAACCTATGTCTCTGTTACCTTCCTCCTGATTTACCCTCTAATAAACTTAAGTACTTTTACGAGAACTTACATAAAAATTTAAGTACAATATCCTCAAATGACACTAATATAGTACTGGGAGATTTCAATGTGCCAAGTTTATCATGGTCTGTTAATCTAAATGGTAATAGTCCTTACCTTGCTCCAAGCTGTCCCACAGACTCTAAGGCTACATTATTATGTGATTACATTTCTCAATGCAATTTATATCAGATGAATAATGTTCGGAATGAATTAGATCGCACTTTAGACCTTGTTTTGTCCTCCTCTACTAGTATTTTAATTTCTGAAACCAGTCCATTATCCCGTATCGATAAATATCACCCTTCACTTGAAATATCGGTTAACACACTGTATAAGCCAAAGTATATAAAACCTAAGTAGTAATAAACGTTTTAATTTTGATAAAGGTAACTATGATGCTATACGTAGAGAAATCAAGGGTGTTGATTGGGGGACTCTCCTTTCAGACGACCAACTTGACTTGGCGGTGGATTCCCTTTATTCAGTAATTAGCGAAATTATTGTTAAATACGTTCCTTTAAAAAAAGAAGCCTCCACTCACCCAATATGGTTCTCAACAGCGCTAAAAAAGTGCCTTGCGGAAAAGAAAAAATTCCATAAAAAGTATAAAATGTATGGTAATCCCCGAGATTACGATACATTTTCCATGCTGCGTGCATGTTATTCTGCTATCATTAACGTAACTGAAGACGCTATCAAAACGAATACCAAAGCTTATTGGAGTTTTGTTAATAACAGAAAAGCTAAAAAAGGTATCCCAAGCACAATAACGCTTGGTAATGCCAGAGCTTCAGACGCAGCAGGAATTTGCGATTTACTATCGCAGTACTTTAGTTCAGTATTCGAAGATTCCACCCAATCAGTACTGCCATCACTCAAAATGTGTGAAAATGTGCTATCGGAATTTACTGTGTCAAAACATGATGTAACTCTTAAATTAAAGCAACTAAATCTTAATAAAGGGGCAGGACCAGACCAAATACCACCTACATTCCTCAAAAGATGTGCTACTGAACTAAGTCTACCCTTGACAATTCTCTTTAATAAGTCTTTAAGAGCAGGGTCGTTTCCATCAGAGTGGAAACTTGCACATGTTGTTCCAATACACAAATCAGGTGATTATTCGTTATGCGAAAACTATAGACCGATCAGTATTCTTTCTTGTATCGCGAAAGTGTTTGAATCTGTAATATATGATCGAATTTATTATCATGTACAACCAGCTCTCTTTGAGCAACAGCATGGTTTTGTCAAGGGAAAGTCCACAATATCAAATCTATTAGAATATAAGGCATATCTTTGTTCAGCCTTCGCAGTAAGTGGTCAAGTTGACACAATATATACCGATTTTCGTAAGGCTTTTGACAAAGTGAATCATGCATTGCTTTCTCAGAAACTCAAGTGGTACGGCATCCATGGTAATTTGTTCCGATGGATATAGTCTTATTTAGAAAACCGTAGCCAATTAGTTACTGTAAAAGGGTATAAATCAACTGCCGTCATCATTAAATCAGGTATACCACAAGGATCTCATCTGGGCCCTCTATTTTTTCTTATTTTCATAAACGACCTAATCCCAAAACTAACTTGTCCTTGTCTATTATACGCAGATAACCTCAAAGTGTTCAAGAAAATTAATGAACTTAATGATTGTATTGATTGAACACAATTGCTGACTGGTGCAAACAAAACTGTATGTACTTACATACAAAAAAATGTTTCGTTATTTCTTTTACCAACAAACGCAATAAAATAAATCACGATTATATACTTGAAGGTCAAATTCTTAAGCGTAATTCAGTTACAAAAGACTTAGGTGTTTACTTTGATGAAAAACTTACTTTCAGAAATCATTATGATTACATTATTTCTAAGTCATACAAAACATTAGGTTTTATTACCAGAACAACCAAACATTTCAAAAAACCATCCACATTTACACATCTCTTCTATGCTTTGATAATAAGTACTCTTGAGTATGGTTCTGTTGTATGGTCTCCATTTTACGAAGTGCACTCCAAGCGTCTAGAACAGATCCAAAACAAAGCTCTTAAGATAGTTAGTTATAGGCTGAAAATAAGTCGCAAGCTACCGTCTTATCAGGAGAGACTACTTACATTTGGAGTTTCATCACTGCGTAATAGACGTGCTATACAAGATATTCTTTGCTTACATAAACTAATACACTGCAAAATTGTTTCCCCAAATCTTTTATCCCAAATCACTTTCAATATTAAGTCAAATCCCAGGCGTCGTCTTAATACGTTTATATTAAACGTCTATAAGAACAATACTTCATTTTACAATCCTTTAACACGAATGTGTCGCTCTTATAATGATATAGTTCTAACGGAGTCAGGTAAGGACATTGATGTCTTTGACAATAATGTAAATAAGCTACGTACTCAACTATTCCACTACTTCAAGTCAACTCCACATTAATTATTTATCGTCATAATAAACTTTTACTATATTGTAAAATTTGTTAAATTTATAAATTGTTTTTTTTTTTGAGTAAAATAGAATACATAAATATGTTTACGGATAATTCATGTTGCAACTGTATGTACGCGTTTTTGGTTTGTATTCCAGGTCAAAACTTTGTGTATAATAGGTATTTATGTTACGTAAAATTGAATGTCAACTGTTGTGTACATCCAATAAAAGAAAAAAAAAAACAACTTTTGCTAGGTACCTATTCAATGTTTGACAAAATCTTTCTACCATGCTATTAGATTGCGGGTGGTAAAAAGTTGTTTTTGTTTTATAAGTAAGCATAACTCGGCACGTTTTCAGGAATATCAGTATGGTACAGCTGTAGAAAATTCGATACTTTAATGTTAGGTACAACGATTCGCAAATGTCTGCTGTCTCCCTACTATTTTTCCATTTATGTTACAGAAATACATCGTGAATCAGCAAGCTGTTCCATTGGGCCCAATATCTCTTCGTTGATGAACTCATCACTGAGACGTCATTTCCCTTTATCTTGGGAGCATTGAGAGCCTTCATCCGTTCCAGAATCGGCTTAATATCCAATCTTCCCGCTGTGCATGTTGTAAGTAGTTATGGTTTCACCAGCACCACCCGTAATACGTATAAAGCGTCCATCAGCATAAATACATAAACGCTGAGTATGTAGTAATTTAAGTAGACAGTAAGCATAGGGTTAAGAATTGTAAAAGACAATGGGCAGAATAAATTCACATCTCTCTCTGTGAATACGTAGTTTTAATTAGTTTTAATTAGTTTTTAAAAAAGCCCTCGGCAGCTCCCGCAACTTGACTGGCGCAGCCGGTACCGGAAAAGCTGTGCCACCGTTCGTGAATATCGCGTATACAATTTTACCCATTTTCACCCATCGGCGGCGATCCAGACAGCGTGGTGGTCCAGCGAACTAAAACAAATTCGTCGAGAATAAGGAGCCGTGAGCTAATGATGGGCACTGCGGGCTGCTGAGTACGACTCTTCACCTCCTTCATATCCCTTAGTAAACTTGGAATTAGACATTTTCCATTTTGACAGTTATTTGGGTTTCCAATACCAATCTTACATACATTTTATAAAGTGTTAAGTGGAATAAATAACTATTACTTGAATAAAAATTAAAATAATATTAATTTAATTGTAATACGTGCATAATATTAAGTCCCATATTACTCAATAAAGTTATAGAGTAATATTATATTAAGTATTATACATTATATTAAGTTCTTAATGTGCCTTCATGTGTTTGTTAATTTAAAGATTACTCGACACGTTAATACATAACAGATTAGTACTTATACTCGAATTTTCCTTACAACATTTGTGGAACTAGTAGAGTTATAAATATTTTATTTTATTTTTTTTATTTTTGTGTAGAACCAGTGAATAAATTATTAAAAATGTCGTAAATTAAACTTATACCTAATGAATTAACTAAAATAATACCAATATTAAGCGGCGATAAACGCCATTTAAATTTATTTTGCGTAAATGTGAATATATAATAAGTAACTATAAATCATCCGACGTGCAAAATGAATATATAATGCAAATCATTACTAGTCGTCTTACGGGTGAGGCTGCGTCGCTTATCAGTGAACGGGAAGATATAGAGACGTGGGCCGAATTCAAGGAATTGTTTTAACTCACTTCGGCGACCCACGTTGTGAAGATTGTTTAGCCATTGAATTAAAAACTTTAAAGAAACACCAAAATGAAAATTATATAGATTTTTGTGGTCGTATACAATCCGTTAAATCAGTGTTATTATCGAAGGTTAATCAAATTGGTGATAAAAACTTAAAAATAAGTAAAACTATTATTTATAATAACACCGCTCTGCAGGTTTTCTTATATAATTTACCCGAAAATATGGTGCGCATTGTTAGGTTAAAAACACCCAGTACAAACTACTAGAAGAAGCACTAAGTGTAGTTCTAGAAGAAGTAAACTTCTATGACCAATAGCAGATGCGTAGTAAAATGTTACAGTCTAGCCATATGTTTAAGCCACAGTCTAGTAGTATACCAGTGCAACAACC